GTTGTATCAGGAGCACGGAATGAGGCAGAGTCTTATAGTGCCACCTCTTCGAATGTCATATGCTCCTGATACAAAATCCGAAATTTCAACGAGAGACGCATTCTGGTTTTCGAGTTATTGCCACTTGAAATTTTTTCGAAAAATCGTTGTATCAGGAGCACAGAATGAGGCAGAACCTTATAGTGCCACCTCTTCGAATATCATATGCTCCTGATACAAAATCCGAAATTTCAGCGAGAAACACGTTCTAGCTTTCGAGATATTGCCGCTTGAAGTTTTTTCGAAAAATTGCTGTATCAGGAGTAAGGCTTGAGACACGGACTTATAGTGCCACCTCTTCGAATGTCATATGCTCCTGATATAAAATCCGCAATTTCAGCGAGAAACACTTTCTGGCTTTCGAGATATTGCCACTTGAAGTTTTTTCGAAAAATCATTGTATCAGGAGCACAGAATGCGGTGGAGCCTTATGGAGCCACCCATTCGAATGCCATATGCTCCTTATACAAAATACGAAATTTCAACGAGAAACAAGTTCTGGCTTTCGAGATATTCCCGCTCGAAATTTTTTCGAAAAATCGTTGTATCAGGAGGACGGCGAGAGACAGGACCTTATCGTGCCACCTCCTCGATGGCCGTATGCTCCTGTTACAAAATACGAAATTTCAACGAGAAACACCTTCTGGCTTTCGAGATATTCCCGCTTGAAATTTTTTCGAAAAATCGCTGTATCAGGAGCACAGAATGAGGTGGAGCCTTATAGAGCCACCCCTTCGAATGTCATATGCTCCTGATACAAAATCCGAAATTTCAGCGAGAAACACGTTCTGGGTTTCGAGATATTCCCGCTTGAAATTTTTTGGAAAAATCGCTGTATCAGGAGTAGGGCGTGAGGCACGACGTTGTCGTGCCACCTTTTCGATGGTTATATGCTCCTGTCACAAAATTCGAAATTTCAACGAGAGATACATTCTGGTTTTCGAGATATTGCCACTTGAAATTTTTTTGAAAAATCGTTGTATCAGGAGCACAGAATAAGGTGGAGCCTTATAGTGCCACCCCTTCGAATGTCATATGCTCCTGATACAAAATCCGTAATTTCAGCGAGAAACACGTTCTGGCTTTCAAGATATTGCCGCTTGAAGTTTTTTCGAAAAACCGTTGTATCAGGAGAACGGCGAGAGGCAGGACCTTATCGTGCCACCTCCTCGATGGTCATATGCTCCTGTTACAAAATTCGAAATTTCAACGAATAACACATTCTGGTTTTCAAGATATTGCCACTTGAAATTTTTTCGAAAAATTGTTGTATCAGGAGCACGGAATGAGGCAGAGTCTTATAGTGCCACCTCTCCGAATGTCGTGTGCTCCTGATACAAATCCGAAATTTCAGCGAGAAACACTTTCTGGCTTTCGAGATATTGCCGCTTGAAGTTTTTTCGAAAAATTGCTGTATCAGGAGTAAGGCTTCAGACACGGACTTATAATGCCACCTCTCCGAATGTCATATGCTCCTAATACAAAATCCGAAATTTCAACGAGAGACACATTCTGGTTTTCGAGATATTGATACTTGAAATTTTTTCGAGAAATCGTTGTATCAGGAGCACGGAATGAGGCAGAGCCTTATAGTCTCACCTCTTCGAATGCCATATGCTCCTGATACAAAATCCGAAATTTCAGCGAGAAACACGTTCTGGCTTCCAAGATATTGCCGCTTGAAGTTTTTTCGAAAAAATGCTGTATCAGGAGTAAGGCTTGAGACACGGACTTATAGTGCCACCTCTTCGAATGTCATATGCTCCTAATATAAAATCCGAAATTTCAACGAGAGACACATTCTTGTTTTCGAGATATTGCCACTTTAAATTTTTTGGAAAAATCGTTGTATCAGGAGAACGGCGAGAGGCAGGACATTATCGTGCCACCTCCTCGATGGTCATATGCTCCTGTTACAAAATTCGAAATTTCAACGAGAAACACATTCTGGTTTTCGAGATATTGCCACTTGAAATTTTTTTGAAAAATCGTTGTATCAGGAGCACAGAATGAGGTGGAGCCTTATAGAGCCACCCATTCGAATGCCATATGCTCCTTATACAAAATCCGAAATTTCAGCGAGAAACACATTCTGGCTATCGAGATATTCCCGCTTGAAATTTTTTCGAAAAATCGTTGTATCAGGAGAACGGCGAGAGGCAGGACCTTATCGTGCCACCTCCTCGATGGCCATATGCTCCTGTTACAAAATACGAAATTTCAACGAGAAACACGTTCTGGCTTTCGAGACATTCCCGCTTGAAATTTTTTCGAAAAATCGCTGTATCAGGAGCACAGAATGAGGTGGAGCCTTATAGTGCCACCCCTTCGAATGTCGTATGCTCCTGATACAAAATCCGAAATTTCAGCGAGAAGCACGTTCTGGCTTTCGAGATATTCCCGCTTGAAATTTTTTGGAAAAATCGTTGTATCAGGAGAACGGCGAGAGGCAGGACCTTATCGTGCCACCTCCTCGATGGCCATATGCTCCTGTTACAAAATCCGAAATTTCAGCGAGAAACACGTTCTGGCTTTCGAGATATTCCCGCTTGAAATTTTTTCGAAAAATCGCTGTATCAGGAGTAGGGCGTGAGGCACGACGTTATCGTGCCACCTTTTCGATGGTTATATGCTCCTGTCACAAAATTCGAAATTTCAACGAGAGACACATTCTGGTTTTCGAGATATTGCCACTTGAAATTTTTTTGAAAAATCGTTGTATCAGGAGCACAGAATGAGGTGGAGCCTTATAGAGCCACCCCTTCGAATGTCCTATGCTCCTGATACAAAATCCGTAATTTCAGCGAGAAACACGTTCTGGCTTTCAAGATATTCCCCCTTGATGTTTTTTGGAAAAATCATTGTATCAGGAGAACGGCGAGAGGCAGGACTTTATCGTGCCACCTCCTCAATGGTCATATTCTCCTGTTACAAAATTCGAAATTTCAACGAGAAACACATTCTGGTTTTCGAGATATTGCCACTTGAAATTTTTTTGAAAAATCGTTGTATCAGGAGCACAGAATGAGGTTGAGCCTTATAGTGCCACCCCTTCGAATGTCATATGCTCCTAATACAAAATCCGAAATTTCAGCGAGAAACACGTTCTGGCTGTCGAGATATTCCCGCTTAAAATTTGTTCGAAAAATCGCTGTATCAGGTGTAGGGCGTGAGGCACGACGTTATCGTGCTACCTCCTCGGTGTTCATGTGCTCCGGATACAAAATTCGAAATTTCAGTGATATACATCTTTTGGTTCTCGAGATATTCCTTCTTGAATTTCGTTCGAGAAACCTCTGTATCAGAAGAACTGGTTAAGGACGAGGCCTTACCGTGCTATCTCCTGTATAGTCATGTGTTCCTGGTACAAGATACGAAATTTCTGCGAGATACACCTTCTGGTTTTCTAGATATTACCGCCTAAATTTTTTTCGAAAAGCCTCTGTATCAGAAACACCGCTCGACGGATGGCCTTGTTGCACCACCTCCTCGAGTTTCATATTCATTCCGGATACAGAGGTTTTTCGAAAAGTCTTTGTGGGAATATCTCAAAAAGCAGATGGTATTCTTCGATGTAAGTTCGTATTTTGTCTATAATATACTTTGTAACTTTTTATTCTGGAAGGCCATTTCACTGAGTGAAATGAAGAGTTTTTGATAGACTGGACAGTCGATTGTTTCTTAGCTTGATATTGTTTTTCAAATTTTAATGTTTGGAAAACGATGTAAATTACCTGGTCTTATCACGAGGAGGTGACCCGCCCTGTTCTCTAATCCCATCACCCTTCTGTAACACGCATGGCTTGGTATTCTGCTTAAAGAATGCCGAGTATTTATTATACTTGTCCTTGTTAGGTAATGCGTTGACAGACGTTTCATAATTCAAGCTCAAAATTCAATATATAGCTTATCTTTGAGACGCAGTGCTGAGCTTAAACTATGGAACTCCGTTTTCTAATCAATGATCGCACTAACGGTAAATTCATCACTCACACAATCACACACTGAATGTTAGAATATATACTATTTCGCTAGATGATACAATAAATCGCTATAATTAGCAGTCTCTCACACTAAAGATACATACTCTGCCAGCACATTCTGTGTCCATGGTACGTTTATTTTACTTTGAACGAAATAATTGGTATGATACTACTGATGAAAAACATGTCATGTTGTGTAGAATGTGCTCACAGAGAGTTTGCAGGAAGTAACTAATTTATGATCAACTAATACGAGACGTATTCAATTTGATATTAAAGCCCACGAAACTTAATATTTATATGCACGCAACTTAATATTAAAACGCACGCATCCTACGGTGTCCCTCGTTGTCCTGGAGAAAACTAATTTTTCTTATAGTCCAGTGTATACCGTGAAATATATAAAGGAAGAAATTTGACAAGATGTAGACTGGATTGTAGTTTGCGTAGTTTAGCAACTACTTAGCTTGATATCGTTATGCAAATGATAATATCCGGAGAAATTAAAATTTTGTTTTTTCCCAAACACTCTAAGATATTAACATTTGGAACACGGTATCAATTACTGAGATCCACGTGGAGATGACTACGCGTGGGTCTCATTATAGTGTATCATAAATCAATACTGTTTTATTTGGTTTTATTACAAGAATCACGATTTACACTTGTATTGAATTTAAAAAATTTGTTTAAAAAATGGAAACAATATCTGAAAACGATATAATGATATTCTTGCTAACTATTAGTGGCAAAAGAAAACTGTGTACTAGATGCTAATTTATAAATCTATGACATATAATACTAACTTATGTAGAAAATATTTATATTACAATCAAAAATTCAGTTGGTCATTGTTTAAGAATGGTTATGCAAGTAGAAAAGCGTTCACGATCGATTCAATAAATAATTTTCGATGCAGATGTAACAACATTATTCATATTTTCTGATTTTAATTCCTATTACTAGTAGCGTTGCAGTGCAAATCCTGCTTAAATCGATATGGTAGGCTGTGACATAAAAATGGTATGGGAATCAACTGATCCTCAAAACATGGATATAAAAAAGCATTGAATGTCCAATCTATAAATGATTATATGAATTCAGATGCTTCGGAATGACTGGTATAGACGTTTGCTATAATTACTTATATATTTTTCTATGGATTATATTTCATGCAAATGAAGCTTAAACTAACCTTATTGTACGATTTTTTGAAACAAATAGAACTTTTAAATCAGTAAAGTTAACAAATGTAATAATACGCATTTATTTATTCAATTAAGTAAATCTAGTTTCACATAACTTTAATTTCAATGATGTACTGACCATTTGGAGGTTAGGTATATATACGTATGCGCCATATCTTCTTTGGGAATATCTATAAAATACTCAAATAATTTACAAAACGACGAGCGATGGCAGAGGAAAATCACTGCATGTATTTTGTGAAAAGAAAGGGGCGTTATTGTCGAATGACAGTGAAGAAAGGAAAGAAATACTGCGGTGAACATCAAAACGTCTCGTCCGAATTGAATTGTCCTGAAGTACTTGAAAATAAACGAATAACATGTCCACTTGATCCGACTCAGTAAGTGCGTGCTTCTATTATTGATAAGTATTTCATATTTCTCTATATACATACAATTTATAGATCGTTTCCAGTACGTGTTATGAGTCTAAACTGGCAAAACACCTACGGATGTGCAATGCAAAGCGTTTGAACGATGCACGACCATCGTTTATCATAAAGGGAATTAATGCTAACGAGATGCGCGAAGCACCACAGCATGTGCCTCTTTCGAAATTCAATGATCGAGTAATAGGCACAGTTATAGACAAAGTGAAAGCTGTTTACGGTTGGTAATTCGTATATTCAAATTTGAATTGAAAATATACTTTAGTCCTCTGATCCCTTTTACAGAAACATTACCCCAATTTCCTGAAATAGTATTGGAGCATCAAATACTTAAGGATAAAATAGATGACAACTCTTGCGGGAAATCTACCAAGAAACATCTCCTGCAAAATTCGTCATTGCTGTCGCATTTGGAACATGCAAATCTCGTGAAAGACGATACGTGTTTCATTGAATTTGGGGCTGGAAAGGGCAAATTAACATACTGGTTGGGCCAAATAATAAAACACAAGAAAGACTGTTGTATTTTATTAGTAGATCGTTCGAGTCACAGGCATAAGAATGATAATAAATTAAGAAACGAACAGTCTCTTCTCCTGGTGGAAAGAATACGTGCCGACATTGCAGATTTGAAGCTGAATGATGTGACAGAAATTCAGAGATTCAAACATAAAGTTGGCATTGCGAAACACTTATGCGGAGTAGCTACAGGTACTGTTTTTCTTTATATAGGTACTGTACTACAAGTACTGTATGTTTCTTTATATATTTCTCGTAATTTATCGTAAGGATTGCGCAATATAAAAATATTTATATAAAAGTTACTGGGAAAAATTATTATTTTACAGATTTAACTCTAAGCTGCATAGTTCAAGCAATTCAAAGTGAACCTAAATGCAATGTCACTGGTATAATCATTGCATTCTGTTGTCATCATAGATGCGAATACGCGTCGTACGTTGGAAAAGAATACTTGGAACGGTGTGGGTTTACGCCAAATGAATTTACAGTTTTGTGTAGTATCGCCAGCTGGGCGACTTGCGGATTTGGCTTAAAGGCAGCTAATACTTCAAAAACTCAAAGTGACTCAGAACAGACGAAGTACGTAACATTTTAAAAAAATTTTGTTTTAACCACTGAAAACCAAGAGAATATTATATATTTTTCAGAACGGACGTAAAAAACTTAAGTTCAAATGAGAGGGAAAAGATCGGTCGGAAAGTAAAATCATTATTGAATTGGGGTCGTTTAGAGTACTTGAAGAAAATTGGATTTCGAAGCGATCTGATTTATTATACCACTACCGATATATCGCTAGAAAATATGTGTATAGTGGCAACGAAACACGAAATGTAACAATTGATTAACATAGGCAAACGAAACAAATTTTTATTGTAGTAGAACATAGTTCAATCTTCTTAATCAATCTTTCATACGATTAGAATTGTTAGAATATTTTTTAGAACAAGTTGAGATTGCGATCGTGTCATCTTATCGCTTATGGCTCCATGCGAATGCTGCATAAAGCATTAATTTCTTTTACTATGTACAATACAACGTCCCGCTCAAATACAACTTGGTATAACAGTAACAAATTCTAATGGACTCACATGAATGATTTTAATACTACTAAAACTATGTTACGTATGTTATTAATTGATGAAAGAATTAATTAACGATCGGTAAAAGAATGAGTAGCAAAAGAACTGCTTGAAGATATATATCGTGCGACAGTGTACTGTTTTATTGTAGCAGCCAAAATTGAAAAATAGCAAATGTGCACAAGATAAAATTATACATCTGAACTATATATTTTCTACTTGAGTAGAAAAGCTTATCAAGATGGAACTGCATATTTTTTGGCCACCAATCACTTGTTTAACCCTTTTCGTTATTTGCGTAATAATAATTTTATTGAGATACGGCTCGCGTATTTGTAAGCTACGACACGCGCCATTGCCTTCTAATCGTGAATGGGAAGAAAAGGCATATTCTCGAAAATTATCAGTTTCTATGATCTGAAATTAAGTAGATGTCACATTAAATCAGTATTAAAAAATTTAGATTCAATTAGAATTTACATGCCTACTACGTATATATTTGAGAATAATGCTTTAGATTTGAAAATTTTCCATAAGAATTCCTTAAAAAGATTGCTTGAACATGCACGCGCAGAGTAACATGTAAGATAATGTAGTTATATCTTAAGAACATAATTCCATATATCTTTTATATATTACCTTTTTATACATAAAGCAAGGAATCTCCGTCCATTCAAATTCAAACGATAGTTTGTGCCATGAAAATTAGTAAAATATTTTGTTCTTCATTCATTCATTCATTCATCGATATCTGAACGTTGAAAATATGTCAATACGTTCACACAAATAATAACAGATGTAACAAAGTGAGCAATGATTTTTAGATTTTGTAAGTTGAATAAAAATATACTTCACTACACAAAATGAAGAAGAACAAATAAAATGTTTGTGAAAGAAGAATAACTGTATTGAGAAAATCAAGATTTCCAATTTTTTTTAAATTTGACGTTTTCTGTGTAAAGACAATTTTGTCATTACCTACGAATTTTTGTATTTTTTATAGAAATAAAAAAATACTTCTCTTTACATAAAACACACGTGTTTTATTTGATTTTAAAAATCCAAATCAATTTGTTTCAAAAGGAATTTAATTTTTACTAACATAAAATTGAATTTTTATTACGTGTAACGATCACACAATTATTTAATAAGTAAATTTATAGATACATTACACATTTTAGCTCATTTATATGCGAACTATAGATTCCTAATAAATAAAATCGTGACAATATAAGGATTTACATTCTGCTTATTGTTTAATATCTAAAATGTTATCAATTTATTAAAATTAACAATTAAATTTTCAAATTAGTAAATAATTAAAGGATTATTATTAGCAAATTTGATAAATTCAAATAGTTACTACTATTCCCTTTTGTATAAAATTTATTTTATTTAAATAAGATGTGGCACGGTAACTCATAACAAATTAAATCGAATAAAATTTTCATTCAATTTGATTATTATATATTATAATAAGATCATGTAAAAGCCGTAATAAAAATTTCACAGTACATTTTTTGAACGAAAATATATTTTTTTAATAAACAGATATTACATAACGAAAACAAAATGTAACTTAAAATAAGGTACCTTCTTTATTAGGATATATACTTAAACACTTTTTTCCTCACAAGATCATTAATGAACAGGATCAAGGATTATTATTCTACTCGAGGACGACTATATTTTCAGGTGAATGCGGTATCATGCATCGATATTACTGTCACAAACTGTGTTTATTTTTATCATTAATGTATATTATTTATTATAAATAAGTTAGAAACATTGATTTCATTTTGGGCTTGGTAGGTGTTTACATTTTATACACACAGAAAGAATACCCAACATATTATGCTTTCAGAAAAATGTATACTTTTGACAAAAAATGATTTACAAATGAACTATAGCCACAAATTTGCGCGTCACTCGCTCGATCACGAATCAGGCGAAAGAAAGCCTGTTCGTCTCAACCAATTTTTTTATTTTTTGTTAAAATGTTTCACGCATGCTGCATACATATCGTACATTTAAATTCATTCATTCTCACTCTCATTCTTTCAACCTTTCTCCCCCGCCATTCCCTCCCTCACTCGTTCCTTCTCTTTCTCTCTCTCTCTCTCCCATTTTTCTCTTTCTTTCTTTCTTTCTTTCTTTCTTTCTTTCTTTCATTTTCACTATCATTATTCTCACTTTGAATACACATTTATCTCCTCTCCCTCATTGCCACTTGCTCTCTTTAATCACACTTTCACTGAAAACCAAGCAGTATTATTATTATTATTATTAATATTATTAATATTAATATTATTATTATTATATTATTATTATTACTAATATTATTATTATTATTCAATATTATTTGTTATTATCTCTTAACATTATATTTCATTCAATGTATTTATATATTTTTTTCTTTATAAACTCAGTGTTTCAACCAAAGTAGGTATGACATATGCTGCCCAGTGTGCGTGCAGTGTTAGCAGTATCAGGGTTAGACATTCAGGCTACATATATCCAAACGTCACACCCTAATTCACTGATTTGACCAACACCGTAAAGTTTATGTTGCAAGTATTCTCCAGGTTGTGCACAGCAGTTTCTATCACCTTTGCGCAAATGTTCTTTCGATAGAACATCAAAAGGTGGCACAAACAGCAGTTAATCGAACCATTAGAGAATACAAGCAGTGGGCAGCGCGCTAGCCAGCAAGAGCGAGCGCAGGCAGTGAGCAGTTCATACATACGTACACTGTAATGTGGATACAATGCAAGCCAGGGCCATATGTTCTTCAACTATGTCCCTAGCTGCGCGACGCTGTGTCAATAAGTGAGGGCTGGATGAAAGGAAAACTAGTGCTGTAATTAAGACTTTTACATCGTTCGTAGATCGCTGAAACTATAACTGTATGGTATGAGATCGCAGCCCTCACATTCTGTACACAGCCTACGGAGAAAAAAGACAGCAGAAGAATCTGCAATCTTTCGCCTCCTAATTACCTAAAATCACATCGAACAGATGTTTTTTCTAATAATTTCTTAATATTGAAGGGTGGTAAAGTTTCCTTTTTGCTGATTTTATGTTGCTTTCTTCAATGCTAACCTATGTTTCATTTTATATATTATATATAACAATATTTATACGATGAATTATGAATTTGAGTCACATGCAGAAAAAACTTTTACTTGCTTCTGGCACAGATAAAAAAACACTTTGGCTTTTTGCATCTAAGAAAGGACTGCAATAAAAACACCACACTAGTAAATGGCACTAGAATTGCTCTCACTTGTGTCACAGACTACTTGTGATTAAAAAGCATTTGTCCCTCTTCTCTTCAGTTTCTTGCTGAGATCTCTTGATTTGAGATGAACACTTGGACAGACATTGTATGGCATGGCTGCACTCTATCTTATACGTTTATTTTTGTGTTGCTCGTGGTATTATTATATAAAAATTAGATGATTACGCAGTCAGCCAGGCATGATTGACTAAACTAATCTATAAAAAGGTAATAAATTCAACAAATAGAGTACGAAACTAAATCAATTTGTTGGTATTGACAGTGAGAAGGTTAGGAAAGAACGTATAACGCTCAGATTTAGGTCCATATTTGTTCATCGCTGTTACCTCCGTTTTATAAATTTTACTACTCATTAGTTGGTACACTTGTAATGGAGCAGCGACAATACGCTGATGGCACCACAAATTACTGTTCATTTTCTGCCTTTCTCATATTCCCCATTTTCTAACTTAATAGAGTTCACACTGATACCTTGGTCAGGGTATAAGAAAAAATTCTTGAGTCCATCCTGAATTTTGTGTATTGCCATCTAAACCAGATTATATTCTTTTAAGTTTAACTGTAGAATGGTGTCTTTCACTGCTGCAAATACAAATCTGATGTTTTCTGTATCTGTAATAGAAAAAGAAGTGTAAACATTTATAACTTACGAAGTTGAACAACAATAATATAGTTACTGAGTTAATTGAGCAAAAAGCCATTAGTAGCCATTAAAATTTTTTTAGAAATGTTGAAACTTTTACTTAATGATTACTGTTTTCCATCGAAAAATATGTAAGTAAACTTACCAGGGAATAAAAGATGAGAATAAGTTTAAAACTGATACACATGCGACGTGCAACTTTTATTTTTTTATAAAAATTCATAAAAAACACCAACGCATATAATACATAATTCATATTATAGGAATCATTAAACAAATTAATTATATTGCATAATGATATATTTAAATCAAATAACTGAAGCACATAAATTTTTAACAATTTCTATAATCCTTATCATTAACATTAATTGAAAGTAACAAATTATAGAAGATACAATTAATTGCAGAAGTTTTACAAAAGTATATATAAAAGGAAGGAAAGCTGTATGTAATATAATAATTATCACATGCCATTGAAGAATAAAGTTCCACACTTCCACAAACATGAAATATACACTGCTTGAAACAATTAGAAAATGTTATTATGAAGAATTTTGTTATATCGATCAAGCAAATAGATAGAAGGAAATCCTATAAGCTTGATAGACTAAAATGTTATTCAAAAACATGAATTGGAAAATTAAGGTGAATGGAATATGATCTTTTAATTGTTTTGGGCGGTACCATTAATGTTTTGTATATTTGACTGTGCTTTATTAAATGAAGATTAATGCTTTGTTAAATAAGTTAAAGAAATCTACTGTTGAAAGAATACGTACAATCCTTATTAGCACTTCTTTCAAACTTGTTTAATTAAATTTAGAAACTTAAGAAATTGCTAAATTATAATCAAACAGTATGTGCAAATAAATATGGTTTGTATAATTCATGCATTGAAACTTTGTGCAGAGCATAGTATTCCTTCCCATAACTTTATAAGATTGGCACTTACGAATTAAAATTAAATACAATTATGAAATTGACCATACTAATCTAAGTCTTTCTACACTCTGTTTTGAATAATTAAAATATATTTACATTTTATTACCATTATTTCAAATTTCGCTACATAAATCAAAATATTTTTTTTTACTATTATTGAAATAAAATAGTATTTCTACTTGATCCATAATACTAACAAATCATTTTTTTTTTTTTTAATTCACTTTACTTCAGTTGCAATTTTGTTATTTTGATTACTTCGTCAAAATAATTCGAGAGAAAAGAGTGGCAGTCTCAAAATTTTACACAGTATATATGTTACTCTATTTTAATCTTCGATTTACCAACATTTCATTAAACATTAACAGTCATTTTATAAAAAATCTGTATACATCCTCAATAAAACAAACACGTTATCTAAAGATCATATATAAATGAAAAAATTGTCCATTAGGCAAGATTAAATTCTTTAAGCGCAGTTTGCATAATTGTATCTTTAACAGCACAAAATACAAGCTTAATATTTTCTGTATCTGAATGATTAATCCCATAATTGCAGCATGCAATAATAAAACACATATCAATGTTAGTTTCAATTTTAAGTATCAAATCAGACAGAAAATCAGTCTGATATCAAAGATGTATACTTAAATCATTGTCTTAAATTAATAATAAACACAACAGTATACGGACTGATTTTCTTAAGGTAAATAATCATTAGGATAAAAATTACGCACCTGTTGGAGAATATAGGCAACATGCAAATCATCTTGCACAACATACATAATATTAAAAAGCAAAAACAAATGCACATTAGCATCAATTACTAACAACCTACCTGTAGCACACGTAAAGTGTGAATATATAATCTTCTCAATATCTGGATTCAAGTCGACAAACATCTGTAAAATGAATTCTCTAGCAGGTATGGCATCTCTTTGTGGGCCTGTGAAATATATAAGCAAGCATACGAATTGACATTACTTCTATTTATATTTACTCAAGCATATACTATCGCTTTTCTCTCTCAATTTAATTATACACATCGATGGGATATTATTTTAAAATTTTATTAAAATCAACTCAAATATTAATTAACATAATAACATAAAATTACAAGATTTATATTATCTATAATAAAATACATTTTAAAACATAAAAATATATGTCAGAAGTATGACAGAAAGGTAAAGTCAAAATCAATTTCAACTATTTATACTACATATATAAACTAATGCACATCAAAATTGTACATAAAAAAATAAAGAGAAAATTAGATGTAGAAGTTGAAAATTATTTTAATAAAATAAAAATGCTCTGTTTTAGATATTAAAACTGTTGTAAAATTTTTTTCATTTTATCTGTTTCATCAAATCAGTAAGGTTTATATCTAAATCCAATAAATGCTGAAGGACAAATTATTCAATTAGTTCTATTAACCCTCAAAGAAACCTTTTGAAAGTATTACCAATCAAATAAATCTATTACATAAGTTTAATATATGTTTTCATTTTATTAGATTACGAGAACATAATACATTTTAATGAGATTCTAAACGTATGAATTCTAAAAAATGTTTATGTAAAATGCTTTGGAAATTAATTAATGTAATATAACCAAATCTATTTCTGTATGTAAATTGCTCCGGTATAGTTTTACTAAAAAATTGTATTATTTGTTATTAATAAGATAATATTGAAATGCGAGCTGTTCTATAATATGGAAAGGATTAAGCTTCAAAAATACAGTTACGCAACTTATAGTTACTGGCTTGAATTAAAAAAGTATCTACAGAACGTCTACAATTTCTGTCACGATATGTTATACTTAAACAGACCTGTTGCACACGTAAAATGAGAGTAGCACATGCGGTCAGGATCGGGATTCGTACTAAGATACACCTTTAAGATGAATTCTCTGGCTGGTTCAGATTGCTGTTTAGGCCCTATACCATAAAACTTATTCATTTACTAATAATAAACTGAATACTATGTTCCAAAGCGATATGAAATAATTATAAACCTGACCCTTTAAACATATTCATTTTTTATGTTTTGTGATACTTATTTCTTAAGGGGATATAAATGATTTTCATTAAAGTAATATTGCATTACTTTGAGAGATAAAAAGCCGTTTTTATTAGTTTTAATAAATATAAATAAAATTTCTAAAAACGTAATATTACTGAATTTATTTTATATTATAATTTATATTTATATGAAAACTTATTAGATACTTTGGGAGGATTGAAACATGTACCAGGAATATCAGTACGCGTGAGGAATAATTGTGTTAATTGAATCAAAGTGTGATTAAAGATAAATATAACTCAAAAGATCCACACTTTATTAAATATCAACAAAAGTTACTAATTTTAACGAATTTGATCAATTTTTCTTTAAAATAAATAAATTTTTATTTTTGAATGAATTAATTACTTGAAAATTATTATCTTCTACAATTTAATTATTGCCTTATGCGTTCATTTACATTTTTAGATAATTTTTTTCAAAATATAGAAAGCTAATTTTATTAAAGCCAAGCCAAAATTAAAACTTTTATAATATATAAAATTTTCTCGACATTTATTTTGATATTAATTTCACAATATAATAATAAATATTCCTTCTTCCTTTATTATAATTTAATTTCCATATTGATACGAATTATTTGATAATTAATATTGAATTATTGATAAAATAGAATAATATATTTAAAAATTTACAAACGATTATTAAAAATATTAATATATATAATAAACAATATAGTAACTTGAGTTTTAAAGTTTATCGGAGTTATAGATTTAATTAAAGTCTTTTGCGAAGAATATGATTGTCTAGCTCAATCGCCACGACAATTTACTTATTGATTCACAAGGTAACATTTATTGGCAGATTGCAACATTAGTTTCCAAACAAATTGCAAAGAAAGATTGAACTGGTGTAGAAGGATCTCCACAGTTTGTAGTACATGACATTTATTTTCAATTAATCAATCAAATTTTACTTTTTATGAAATAATATTACTATTATATTACAATTGTAATTTTAATATTTATAAAAATCTATTAAATATCTCATATCTATGTATAATATTAATCGCAGATATCAGAAAAAGAATTAAAAAGAATTAAAAGAATTAAAAGAATTAAAAGAATTAAAAGAATTGAAAGTCATATTCGTAATCGTTAAATACATAGAACTTGTATTCTGAAAAATTTGTTAAAAATCTTGCTAAATAAATCTTTTTAGATAAAATGAAAAATCGAAATCAATTTTGAAGTAAAATTCGCTGCGAAAAAAAAATTCAAAAAGGATGTTTGAATTAACAAAATTAGCAACTTTCATTATTAAATTTTGTACTGGTGGATTTTCGTTCACACATAATAATACACTTGTCAGTATACGACATAGAAATTGATTATAAATTTAGAGATTCCTAGACATCAGTAAGTTTAGTGGTGTGAATCTCATCAATAGTATAATTGCCAATAGTAAATATTATCGTTATGTACCTACCATTATATTCAGGAAAATAGTCAACAAGATGAGAGTACATAATCTTCTCTTCGAGCAGATCTTTCTTGTTTAGGAACAGAATAACAGAGGACTGTTGAAACCAAGGATATGTAATAATTGTTTTGAACAATGCCTTACTTTCTTCCATTCGATTCTGAAATAACAATTTACAGCATTAATAGTATATTTATATGAATAAATTATAAAACAAGAAGTAAATGTGGCAACAAGTATTTACCTCATTTTCAGACTCAAACAAAATTTGATCATATTCACTTAAAGCTACTAAAAAGATAATAGATGTGACATTCTCGAAACAGTGAATCCACTTCCTTCTTTCTGATCTCTGTCCACCAACGTCTACCATCCTGTAAAATAAGATTATGTAATATCGTGCAACTTTCAGTAAGCCATAAATATTTGCTACATATTGATAAAAATAAAGTACAAACTACTATTTTATCAATTATCAAATGAAATTAGAAAATAATTTTTAATTTGACAATTTCTAAAATTTAAATTGTTGATACCATTGCTAGTTACATGTATATTATAATATTTACAAAATGATACTTTCTCGATATAAATTTCATGAAAAAACATGCAAACAATAAGCTATTTAAAGCAAACGAAGGATACAAATTGAAAAGAAAAAGAAAAGAAAAAGAAACAGAAAGAATTTTTATAATATTTAATAAACAGCAAACAATCTCGTTCTTAAATAAGAGATTATCTATAATCACTCACCTTGTAAATATATTTTGAGATATAAATGATAAATACTACTACTGTTGCTATTAATGATAATTCATCATCATTAGACTGTGGATTTTTATGCTGTTCCAAATTTTTATGAGTGTAGCTAAAGAAATGAAATCTAAATAGAAATTTACATTTGTGCATCTTTCAATTGCATGAAAAATCCGCAATCTACTTATTATTATTATTCCAATTACTTTCCATTTCAATTTTGCCTCTATAACTTGTACAGTATATTTCCATACACGATAATTATATACAGCAAAGTATTATTAACATTACAATGAATTACAATAGTATTTATATGATTGGAATGATTAGTAATAAATAAATGGCATTACGACAACGTACAAACAAAAAAAAAAAAATATACAACACAGTATGAACAAAATAAACGAAAATTTCTACTCGTATCAAAAACTCACACAGTATGTATTGGTTATTTTGATACTGATCCATTACTCCAAGTTAGTACGAAACTAAGTTAATAGAGTATATTTCTATAACATATAGTGAAGTTTCAAGTAATGTGTGTTAGTACCTAAATATGATGGAGTCCAGATCAAACGGATATTCTATAATGCCAGTAGTAGGAGCTCGAGCCCGAAGAATGTCTTGTTCGCTAGGAAGGAAGTCGGGCTTTTCGATACGTTCTAGGTCACTAAGATAACTGCAAAACAAACGAAGCCACAGTCTGGTAGTGCATGCCATGCATGTATTGAAGGTGATTATGAGGAGAGGAATATCGCGAAACAGCTTACATGCTCGTCGTCCCTGCCTGCAAGAATTTTCTATAATGCCAAAGTTCATTGATTTATTCTTACAGTTTTATGACACGGTAACTGATAACGCTGACGATTTACATTTTCCGCAGAATTATCTACACGACCGAGATGTGAATTACTCTAACACTAAAGTAAATGGGAAAGAGAAGAACAACACTTGTGTATTTGAGACGTCGTTGTTGGAGAATTGTCCATACACGCATTTGCAATGAGCAAACGTTCTTTGCACGCCAAATATAAACTATATCCTCTTCGTTAGAAGACATTAGATTTTGCGTGTGAGAATTTAATTATTGCATAAATACGTCATAAAACTAGAGGGATCAATAGAACTCCATTGTGAGATACCATTGTGAGAGAAAAAAAAAAAAAAAAACAAGAAGGAAAGAATGAAACGTGACAAATGATGAGTCTCATGTACAACGATGAAATCGGTAAGTCACAACGCATGCAACCACGATGCAGAAAAGAGTCCAATGTAAGTAGATCACAGGCACAGGCAGCGTCTTCCTTTCTTTGCATGACGAGACATACCTAAATCGAATTTCTTCCAAGTCAAAAGGATATTCAATTATACCAGTAGTAGGCACTCTCACACGAAGAATGTCCTGTTCTGTTGGGAGGTAGTCTGGTGCTGCGACTCGATCTATCTCCAATAGGTAACTGAAACATCGTGTTCTCAATACCTGATACGCGAGGGATCTAGCATTCCCAAAATATACATTCTTGTTCAGTGAATAGATATAACAACAAGTTATCATTTACAGAGTATTTGACAAATACGCCAATTTATCGTTTAAAGTGCAATTGTTTCTTAAATCGAAACTTGGTAGTTAATTTAGGTCTCGAACGTTTAACACTAGAACTACCAAACTGGTTGAAATGATCAATTCGTAACAATTTTATAAGAATTTTATGAATCACTTCTTTACAGGAATTCGAATGATGACTTTGTAAAATGAAAGCTTGTGTTCTTCATGGTACATCAAGTATTCTTTTCGCACATTTCTCTCACGTTCTGATTATATTGTTACAAATGAAAACGGCCAAATTCTCAATAAAACTTCTAACTTTTAGCCAGAATTTACATCTGTTTTGAAACTAATAAATTAATTATTATTCATTGGATTCAATTACGATACATTTTTAACCATTGCGAAACAATGTGGCAACTGCCTCAGTTAAAATTTCTCATTCTAAAGAATTAAGAGAGAAAAAAGAAAATAGAAACTTAGAAACTGAGGTGATACTGTCTTAATCTCTCAAACTTCTACATGTCGGCTCCTCGGTAGTCCCAGTGTTAATCAAATACTTCTATGCAACGAGTTTTGCACCTTCGATACACTGTTTTACACATGAATCAAACCAGGCCTCGCGTGTCAAAAGATTCATTTAGGGGTTCAACTCCTTGTTCGGAATTACATCATGGGCGAATCACCGACCGGGCAATGACAGTCGGCTGATGCACGTGGTGAAAAAAAAAAAAAAAAGGACACGCGCTCCTTCCAGGACGAGTATCATAGATGACAAAGAGACACGATGACAAACAGTACTTACTACTTAGCGGAGTCTGTGAGCTGATATTCTCGCCTACGGTCGTAACATTCTTGGATACCACTGTCCGCCCATAAATCTTTGATTGCTTCTACGTATGGACTTTCAAACGTTGTAACTGTTTCGAAGTCCACGCTTCGCACGAGTTCGGCTTTCTCCTAGGATCGGATGGAAAGAACACACGTTGCACTCCGGGTACCATAATTAACACGGCAAAAATGGGGGAGAGGGGCAGAGAGAGAGAGAGAGAGAGAGAGAGAGAGAGGAGCCAGGGTCACCGATAAAAATACTCACTATATTCGAAGATGAGGCATACTGGATCTTGAGGAGGTCCATCGCCCGGATCATGGACTGCATGGCCATGAAAATGTTTTGATATACGAGTTTAATGAACCCTCTCTTGTCATCGTCCGAGTAACCAGACCCGTGGATGATTCTCATCTGTTTAATGAAGGTGGATTTGCCGGATTCGCCAGTACCTGCAACACACAACGTAAATTCGTAAATCATTAACGATCTCCATCGTTACTGAAGTAATTGTCTTTTTTTCTTTTTCGGAATACTATATACTCGATTTAACCACGATCGATGAATTCGTATGATATGTTTGATAGTATTAAGTCTATCAAGTGTGTATGTATTATGGCGTGATAAATTGTAATCGAACACACATGGGAATTTTACACATTAGGTTTTCGTGAAATTTTTTTTCTGAAATGAAAGTCAATATTTTCGTATGAAATAATTATTGCTCGTGTGACTCAAATAAACTTTACAGTTAACATATACTGTTGGCATATGAATATTATAGGACGCTTGCTGATATTAGTTTAGCACAGATTAAATGCTTCCCTACTGTTTTTATTTTCCACCTGCTTGCTATTATAAATTATCATGTCATAGAGTATAAAGTGAAATTTACTATTTACCAATAAATGTATGACAAATAGGTGTTTTAATATTTACGGCCGGCAATGTAACTATGATTCTAATGTATCTTTGACGAATCGATTAAATAAAATATCATTATAAATAACTAAATCATCATAAATAATTGAAATGGTCTATCTGTATAGGGAGACGAGTAATTGAAAATTTTATTTTTCTGTTTCCATAATTATTTATAGTGATACTGTTTCGTGATAATTCTACGAAACTGGCAAACATCAACATAAATCTTCGATTTATAAGTAATCAGAAAATTTGTGAGATTTAGATTCCCTTGCTTGATTCCTATTCGAATGCAAATTCACTGTTGCGTAACGAAAAGAGTAATGGAAAGAAAATATATAATTAAACAATATTTAAATCAAAATCCTCGTACGTAACCATGATAATCAATGTTGGCACGTTCGTCGTAAACCGCAATTGAGAATCAGCAAGAAATAATTTCGAAATATCGTCCGATGTTTCTCCAATCAAAGAACGAGGGGGGGGGGGGGCAGCAATTGCAACAAAACGCTCGATAATTAATACATCGATCCAATTACTCGTTTCTGTCTGTATCTCTGGCGTGTGAAAGGGAAACAACAACTGAGAAATAGATAATATTGAGCCATCGTGTTTCTACATTGAAGCTACTCCCCAATGGCAAATATCGTGTTACTATTGTCGCTTTTTAATAAGACACGGGCTCTAGAAGCCGTTACGTCGTTTTATTAACGATTGCGCGAGCCGTTTGGCGGAACGCGTATTAATAGTTTTCATTTGCATGATCGGTGCTGCCCGGATTTCACAGACAAACGGGACACGTGGACAGGGAGAGACGAGCCGGCCGAACGATTTCGAAGAACGGCAACTTCGTGTATCAAGAATCGAATCGACACACGTCGGAAGGGGTGCCCTCGAGTTGGCCGACCTCCACCGACCTCCATCACTTGCTCGACAATTTCCGTGCGGCGCTTCGTGCTTCGCCGGGCCTCGCCAACGAAAGGATACGAACATCGACGACGACGAAAAACAGAGCCACCAATCCGAAATGGGAAGTGACACACCAACACCAGGAACGTGTTTACTCACCCTCGCCGACGACGTTCCTCTCGCTCGGTTTTTTTTTTTTTTTTTTTTTCAAATTTCACGCAAAATAAAAGCTGCCTCGATCAGCGTGGCTGAGCGATCATTCCTTGGACAAAGTATCAAACTGTATTTCGTTTCCGATTGGTATCAGATTTTTGCAATTACAACTTGATACACTTGGATCTAATCAATTAAGTACGCGAATATGCGATATAAATATCACGATATACGATGTGTATAATAATTAATGATTCGATTAAATGTTTGAAATTCGATGGAACAAATATTGATAGAATATTTTCACATTATAATTGTTATCAAAACTTTCAGAATATATTAAGCTACAGTTCAATGTACGTTTCGGTTACTTTACTAATTTTAGGTAATTTATACCTCGTTGAACAACCGTGATTTAGAAAAACACGGTTTAACAGGCGTGAGACAATTTATGTAAATTTTCATTAATCTTTCAATTAATAATTTTTAAATAATTATTGCGGCAAATTTTTTACAGATTCGCGAACGTACTCAAGTGTAAAAATAAAGATTAATTTATTAAACGAAAATCCAGCTGAAGGCGGAAAATCATAGTGGTATTATTCAGTTCGTTGTTATTTTATATTACGAGATAATGTTTACTTTATATTACGAAAAAATGTTCTACGTTTATCACTATAAAAACATTCATTATATTTTTCAAGCATACGGAAACGTATAGCTAGAAAATGGCTAGAAATAATATAAAGATATGTATCATTCAAATCTACTTGGTAACAGTAATAAATACATTTTTCATCATCTGAGCAGAAATTGTCTAAATATTACGAAAAGGTTTAAATTTTGAAACAAATTCTGGAAACGAATTGATAACGATTTTACGAATGGAACTTTCGCGCTACGATTCCGCTTTGAATAGCCGATGCTTGAGTATAATAATTCGCTCATAACCTAACACTATCCCCTGTCGCAACTAGTACCATTCCTTTTCTTCTTTCTTGCTAATAATAAACGCCGACATTAAATAGGTTGCAAGCCGATTAATTCGACCCTTATCGGATCATACGCTCGGAAGTGTGCAAATTAATTTTTTCCGCAACGAGCTACTCGTTACTTTAATCGAACCATAACTTTAAGTGAACAGCTCCGATTTGATAATCCATAAAATTATTCTTATCGTTCCTGTTGCAAACTTGAATCATCCGTTGAATCTCAGCCGCTCGACTTTATTTCTCTCTCCTTTATCTAATCTAAGTTGTGGCTGGCCATTTAATATTCTCAAGACATTTCTTTGCTACACTATCGCATCATCATTGCACTAGCTTTTTATTTAAACGCTTCGAGTCTAAATGTTAAAAATCAACTTGCAGATTAATTGAATGGAAACTAACTTCGACAGTCAATTTTTTTAGGCCCAAAAGCGGCAAAAAGTTTTCTTAATTGTTTTTTTTTTTTTTTTTTTGAAACGATCTGAAAGTTAAACTTAAACCGCCACTTTCGTTATAATTTAGATTATATTTTATATATATCATATGACGTATTTTGTATATAGAAGTCTATATACAAAAATACTTCATATTTTGTATATATTTTGTATATATTTTACTACTATATATTTTGTATATATTTTATTATTATTTTGTATATATTTTGTACTATAGAAGTTATTTTACAAGTTTCATAGCATTTGGTAATATCTTCATGTGACTTGTATAAACATTCGACGAGACTAAAATGCAAAGAAAAAGCTTGATGAAAAAAGAAAAAGCTTCATTCGAAAATTAAAGTTATATGTAAATATTCGTTATAGCAACTGTAATATTTCGATATAGTTACCCGGCGCCGTATTTAACAATGTGCGCTCAAGAAATCGTAAGAAAAAAAGTTGAAAAGAAGGAGAGAAAGGAAAATTGGCACTTTCGTTACAATTTAGAGCCATTAAATATATACCATATGAAGTATTTTGTATATAGAAGTCTATATACAAAATACTTCATATTTTGTATATATTTTGTATATATTTTACTACTATATATTTTGTATATATTTTATTATTATTTTGTATATATTTTGTACTATAGAAGTTATTTTACAAGTTTCATAGCATTTGGTAATATCTTCATGCGACATGTATAAACATTCGACGAGACTAAAATGCAAAGAAAAAGCTTGATGAAAAAAGAAAAAGCTTCATTCGAAAATTAAAGTTATATGTAAATATTCGTTATAGCAACTGTAATATTTCGATATAGTTACCCGGCGCCGTATTTAACAATGTGCGCTCAAGAAATCGTAAGAAAAAAAGTTGAAAAGAAGGAGAGAAAGGAAAATTGGCACTTTCGTTACAATTTAGAGCCATTAAATATATATCATATGAAGTGTTTTGTATAGAAGTCTCTTATTTTACAAGTTTCATAGCATTTGACAATATCTTCATGCGACATGTATAAACATTCGACGAGACTAAAATGCAAAGAAAAAGCTTGATGAAAAAAGAAAAAGCTTCATTCGAAAATTAAAGTTA